TGGTCAGTCCTGGGGCTGAACTCTGGGCTTGGACACTATCCCTCAGCTCTTCAGCTCAAGGCAAGCGCTCTCCTGCTTGAGCTACAGTGCCACTTCCAGTTTTCTAGTGAGTTTTTTTGGAGATAAGAGTCTCACAGACTTTTCTGCCCGGGCTAGCTTTGAACCGTGATCCTCAGATCTCAGCCTACTGAGTAGCTAGGATTACAGGCATGAGCCACCGGTGCCTGGCTGTAAGTGACATTTTTTAAAGTGCAAGTTTACTTTTTATTTTCATAACGGATAAAGATTTTGCTGTCTTCAAAATCCTTTTACCTCATTTGTCAACTGATTATCTTTGATTTGCCATAGTATCAGAGCACCCTCTGTTTATGAAATAGTATTTTTGAGCTCTTCCAAGGCTGAGTTTTCTCTTAAATGTCATTTACAGATTGGGCTGATGACCTAAAATCTATGTAAAGACTTGGTGAAGAGCTCCGCACTGTGGCATACCCGTCCTGTGTGTGCAAACTGCCGCGCCGCTGTCTATGTGGGCATTGACTCTCAAACACTAAAAGAATATCGTAGTGGTCACTCTACTTCAGCCACTTCAGCATTCAGAATGCTGCTCTCACAGTTTTTTTTTTGTTGTTGTGTTAATATTTTGAAATTCATGTTTCAGAGACATCAGCATCACAGAATTGACCATTTATCTCATGAAATAAAATACCTTTAGAAGAATTTGAATTGTAGACCTATGAAGCTTGGGAAATCCTCTTGAGATCAAAACCTGCCAAATCCAGTATTACTTTAAAGTCCCTGGTCACATGTGCCTGAACAAGAAAAGGATTTCCAGATTTATGCAGAATCCATATTTCAGGCTAGAATTCAAGGGGAATCATCCTGTCATTCCTGAAACACATGCAGGCAGTGATCTGGGACATGAGCTCAGTCATGTAGTGCACGCAGGAGGCTTCTCTTACTGTTGGAAGCTTGGTTTGTCTTCCTCAAAATCATTGACTGTTAAGTTGCTCATTTCTGAACAAAAGTGTTTGCTCTGTGGAAAAATTATATCACTGCCAGAATTTCATTTTCTTTATTCTTACATGTAATTGAATTAATTCACTTCTCTCTCACACCAGCAAGTATTTTACAGGTGCCTTGAATTAAAACAAAGTTTTGTTTTTCAATTTTAAATATAGGTCATTATGTTTATGATGCCACTTTTGAAAAGAAAATGCAATTACTGTAATTATGGCTAATACATTTGTTTAATATACCTGTTAGTGTTCTAACTGTTGGAATGTTTTATTCAGCTTGAAACTTTACCATGAAGTCACAAATGATAACCAGTGTTTTGTTAATTTTTAAAGGTGGGTTGGTGTTTCTCAAAATATGGTCCCTAGGCCATTTGGATCATGGAGTGTTTGTTAATAATACAGACTCCAGGGTTCAGTCCCAAGCCACTGCTTCAAACTCAGAAGTGGGGCTTCAAAGCTTAGTCTTGAGTGAGCATAGTGGATGGTTCTGAGCCCAGTAATGGTTAGGAACCACTAAAGTGGGAGTAAAGAAAATAGGTATTTTGTCTAGTGCTGAACCGAGAGCAAGGCACTGATTACTCACACCTATGATCTTAGCTTCTTAGATAGCTGAGATCTGAGAATCATAGTTCAAAGCCAGCTCAAGTAGAAAAGTCCAGAAGACTTTTCTAATCTCCAGTTAACCACCAAAAAAGCTGGCTATACGGCTCATGTAGCAGAGCACCAACCTTGAGCAAAAAAGCCAGGGGACCAGCAACCGGGCCCTGAGTTCACACCCTAATACTAGCACGAAAGAGTAAGAAAGGAGAATGCAGGAAAGGAAGGAAGGGACAGGAAAGAAAGCAAGCTAGCTGAGATCATAGTCTGATATTTTCATTATCTATGAAAGTAGCAGTGATGCACTATTTTTTTATACTTGCAATTTTACTAAAACTCTTGGTTAGCAGGTACAAACTAAATCCAGGTTGTTCCCTGTACCCATTGGTACTTTGGTAATGACTTTGAAACTTAAAAAGTCATCTTCAAATCATACTGATGTTATAAGAAATCCATTGCGAAGCCCACCTGCTAACGCTTGTTGCTTTCCTGATGTGATTGTGGTGATATTCTGTCTCAGACAACTGTGCTTTCTTATAACATGGGGAAAATAGAAATTACTTGAATAAGGGATTGTCTGCCCTGCTGCTCTGCAGAGATACAATCTTTGTAAAGAACACAAATAGCAGTTGTGATACTAAGATGTGATTATCTTTCCCTGTCCATGTGCTTATTGAAGGGAGATAGTGAACAAATAATTCTATTGAGGATTTTTTATTTATAAGATCTAGTGTAAAATCAGCACTTGCAACTTTTTAGATCTGTATGTTGCCTGTTTAATATATTTCTCTAAGATATTAAAATTTTAAAAAAGTTTTCTATCCACTGTCAAGTTTCAATTGGATAACATTTTGTCTACTTTTTTTTTCCTGATTGTTATTTGATGCTAGCTGGAATTTAAGAAATGACATTGACCTTGTTCAAATAAAGAAATATTTTAGTAAGTTTGCTTTTTTTCTCCTTAATATTGGGTAGTGAGTAGCTCTTTGTTTTCCAAATAGGTCCTGATTTGCAGTGTTTCCTTTGTCCATGCTCCACGGCCTGCCCTGGGGCCCGGGTGGCCTGCCTGCCTGCCTGCCTGCCTGCCTCCTGTGGGGTGAGCTGTGGACGCAGCAGAGAAAGCAGACAGGGCCCCGGTAGACACTAGTTACAACCGTGCCTTTGATGTTTTCACTTTTAATAATGAAATCCTGTGAAGCCGGGCGCTGGTGGCTCACACCTGTAATCCTAGCTACTCAGGAGGCTGAGATCTGAGGATCGCAGTTCAAAGCCAGCCCGGGCAGGAGAGACCGTGAGACTCCTATCTCCAATAAACCACCAGAAAACCAGAAGTGGCGCTGTAGCTCAAGTGGTAGAGCGCTTGCCTTGAGCTGAAGAGCTGAGGGACAGCGCCCAGGCCCAGAGTTCAAGCCCCACAACCGACAAAAAAAAAAAAAATAATGAAATCCTGTGTTGACAGAGGCAATTTTAGAAAGTCTTTAAACTTTCTTAGCAAGTACCGTTTAAGCCACTTGCAGGCTGTGGAGTCAGAGGTGGGCTTGAATTTTGGCTCTGCCACTTAACTACGGGGGCCTCCAGTCGCCCCTCCTGCTTATGGCACTTCAGAGCTCTGTTCCAAGAGTCTTTATAAAGAGGCTTCAAAATGTATCAGACCAGGTGTTTGGACCCCCTCCTGTAAACACAAACACCAATAAGATTTAAAGACATAGGTGGGATTTTTAAAATTCAGAAATTGTGTAGCCTGTTCAGGGAGCCTGCCGAGAGTAGTAGCAAAAACTGAAGTGAATATAGGCCGTAGGCATTACAGCCATGTGTATGTGGGGTAATAACAGACGCTACCTCAGACCCAGATTGCCTGAGGCCCCTGGACAAAGCTGAGTGGGCTGCAGCTTCGGTGGAAACGCACTGCGAACCGAAGCTCTTACGCTGCCCTGGCAACTTGAGAAGGCATGGAACGTCTCTTTAGAAAGCTAGCAGATTTCCCTAGCATAAATTGAAGCCCAGACGTATGCTTTATGCCTTTCCAGCATGTAGACAGCCTGCAGGATGTGGAATTTTCCAAGCCAGAGACTCTAAATTAGTTCTGGTCTGGTGGAATCCAGGAGGCAAGACAAAAATCACACTTAACTCCACAACCAAAGTACATCAGATAACCCCAAAACAGCCATTCTTAATAGAAATGGGCTCCAAAAATCACATACCAAATAAGAAAAAGGAAAAAAAAATAGACACCTAAATAGAAAATGGCACCTCCAAGAATCTAGGAATATAAAGTGTCAAAAACAACTGATAGGTACATCTAAAATGACTTAACACTGAAGGGTTTATAAAAGATCACAAATCATGCCAAGAGTGGAAAGTAGGATGCTTACAGATCCAAAGAACCACCCAAACAAATACAGGAGGATGAATTTGATTTGGATGCCAAATTGGATGTAGCTGAATAGTTGGCAAGTGATTCGCATGGAGATTCAGGTGCTGGGACTTGATAAAGTGCCATACACTGGCAGGGAGGGAGCAACAAGAACAGTGGAAGGACTGTTCAGAATTGTGTCATCACTAAGACTTCCAAAAATCAGTGCAGAAATAGGCATATTTGGGTGAGTGAGGGGATGGAGGATCACCATAGAAATTTTTATCTGAGGGGCTGGGAAGGTGGCTCAGTGATAGAGCGCTTGCCTTGCATGCCTGAGGCCCTGGGTTCGATTCCTCAGCACCACATAAGCAAAAAGAAAAAAGCCGGAAGTGGCACTGTGGCTCAAGTGGTAGAGTGCTAGCCTTGAGCTGAAGAGCTGGGGGACAGTGCCCAGGCCCAGAGTTCAGGCCCCACAACTGGACCCAAAAAAAATTTTTTTTAAAGAAATTTTTATCTGAATCAAGTCCTAATGTGAATAGCATAAATTTACGCCCCCCCCCAATTGGGTCCCTGCAAGAGAACCTACTCCCAGAGAGGAATGGTATTTTGTATGAGAAGTGGTAAGCAATTGTACTGGAAGGGACTAGGGATCTCACACTTGGACTTCCCAGAGAGCAGAGGTGGAGCAGGAGAGTTTTAAGCAGACAGAACATTCGCCTTTCTAGTCTTCATAGAAAATGGGTTGGAGGGAAGAGATCCGGGACAGAAACCACTTGCCATGTTTGTGGTGGGTAAAGGTGGCCTTAAGAAAAGGCTAAGACATATAAGGTACTGTCTCAACTATGGGAGCTGAGAAGTCCCACATCTGTCTGGGTCCTGGTCAGCCGCGAGAGGCACTGGTCTAGTTCAAAGCCTGAGATCCAGAGCACAGATGGTGCATATTTCACATCTGAAGGCTTGAGAATCGGAGTTCTGTAAGCTAACGAATATCAGCATCACTGGGCACCGGTGGCTCACACCTGTAATCCTAGCTACTCAGGAGGCTGAGATCTGAAGATCATGGTTGAAAGCCAGCCTGGGCAGGAAAGTCCATGAGACTCTAATCTCCAATAAACCACCAGAAAACCAGAAGTGGTGCTGTGGTAGAGTGCTAGCCTTGAGCTGAAGAGCTGAGGGACAGTACCCAGGCCCTGGGGGGCAGTGAGGGGGGGGGTGAAGAATACCAGCATCCCAGATCAGATCAGGCAGAGAAAATTCAATTTCCTTCTGACTTCTTTATGCAAAGTAAAACCCTTAGATGTTGCCCCCTGCCCCCCACCCCCATGAGGAGGGTCATCTGCTTTACTCAGTCCACCAATCCAGTAGTTAGTTTGTTTTGTAAATGCCCACAGACATTCAAAATAGCTGGTCAGTAGGTATCTGGGCATCCCATGTCCAGTGAAATGAAGAATGACTTTCATCCATTAGCATGTTACTTCCTATTGTTAGGGAAGTCCTAAAGTGCACCAGAGTTCTCAGAACAGCTGTTAACCTTCAATTTCAGGCCTATTGCTAAATGAGTTCATTGGCCTTGACCAGGGTGAGCCTGAGTGAAAAGCACAACATTCAAATACCCCATACCCACAGAACAGTATATTGGAAACAAACTTTACAACTTCGGGCAGCAAGGGGAGAGGTGGGGGAGGGAAGGGATAGTGGAACAGTAACAAGGAAGGGAAGGGGTAACAATGATCGACAGATAAAACGTACGCATTGCCTTACTCATGTAACTGTAACCCCTCTGTACAACATCTTAATAAAAAGTTCATACCCCATACCTCTAAGAACTAAGGCTTTGCAACTGAGGCAAGCTTATTGTCTGCTTTGGATGAGTCCTCCTAAGCACCGCCTTAAATTTCATGCAAATAGATGAATCACCACGCAACAATAGCACCAAATGTACCTGAACTCCAAGCTTGTACCTAGTTCAGATGAAACTGGCCAGCCGCAAGCAATAAATTCAGGGATTGGTCTTAGTTCCCATTGTCCCCTTCTACACAGAAATGATGGCAATGACAGCCAGATCATGCAGCCCAGCATATCCTGCTGAGAACAAACACAATTTCACCCCTGATCACCACTTTTCTCCTAGCATAGAACTTGCGTGACTGAGATAGAGGAAAGAATATAGTTATCACCTCACCAACATGTGACAGCTATGGTCAAAAAGATGAAAGTCCTGGCCAGAGAAATACTGTAGGGATTTATATAGACCAAGTATAACATTGCTGAATAGTACTAGAAGATTGGGAGGGCAAACCTAGGGTATATTTCCTAAAAAATGTGTTATTTTAGAAGAGAACGGGTTAAGATGTACTGGGTACCCAGTGTCCCAAATGGTTTAGAATTGATCCGATAACTGATGTGGAAGGAGCTCTAAAGTCCTATAACTGAATGAAAATGTAGTGCTATAATTCAGTGAAAATGTTACTGCTGTGACTGAGAAATCCGTTTGCATAAGCAGTTGGAGAACCTTGTGTCTACATAAATAATAGCCCTAAAGAAACAAAAAGAACGTGGGCTGAGGATGTAGCTCCCCTGATACAGCATCTGTCCAGCCTGGACCAGGCTCTGATTTCTAACTCTAGAGCTAAAAGAGGGAAGAAGGAAGGGAAAGAGAGCAGGAGAGGGATGGAGGGAGGGAGGGAGGGAAGGAGAAAAAGGAAGGGAGAGAAAAAGAGAGAGAGG